TTGATCACTTAGCCTCTGATTTTAGGTTGAATCTACTCACGACAGTATTGTAGCCTCTCGCTCTGTTTTCAGTAAATTCTCATAGTTAGATTAAAAAAAAATTCAACATTAGCCTATTTTTTTAATTAAAAAAAACGTGGCCTATATTTTTAATTTTGATTATTTTTTTGCCTATTTTCATAATTTTTCCTTTTACATAACCGCTTTATGATTATTTAAGATTGTTATTTCCGTTTAGGAAAAGCCTTTTTTTTTATAACCGCTTTATGGTCTTTAGGAAAAAAACGTTTTATGGTTATTTCCAAGGGTTACGTCTTTTTGATATCTAGATAACCGCTTTATATGGTTGTGTTCTTTCGAAAATAATTATTTTATGGTTATTTTCAAAGATTGTGTTTTTACAATAATACCACTTTATGGTTATTTTCAAAGGCCGCATATTTTCAATATAATTTTTTTATGGTGGTGTCCTTTCAAAAGTAACTGATTTCCAAAAATTACGTATTTTCAGTATAACCACTTTATGGTTATCTTCAAGGGTTGCATTTTTTCGGAAAAAGATCGTTTGACCTATATTTATGGTTGTTAATGGTAGGGTTGCATCTTTTCAAGATATTCTATTTATGGTTATTAGTGTCTTTTAGGCCTGCGCCATTTCGAAAAAATGTTTTATGATCTTTAATCTCTATGATTGCATCTTTTAAAAAAACACCGCTATATAGATTTGTGTTATTCAAACTCCATATATTTGTTTTATTGAACATTTTTTCATTTATGACTACTAACTTTAAAATTCACTCAAAACATTATGTGATAAAAAAGTCAAAAATTATTTTAGAATCTCACAATATTTTGTTTCTTTATTTAAATAAAAATTCTTTGGAATTTTGAAGGATCATGTCTATCAATAATAGCAATCCTGGAAGAAATATTTTAGGATTGTTTCTTTTCAAAAATACCGTTTTATTATTATAAACGTTAGGGTTGTGTCTTTCCAAAAAAATTGTTTTATGGTTGTTATTAATGTCTCTTAGGTTGCATCTTTTTAAAAAATTGTTTTACGGTTATTAATGTTTCTTAGGATTGGATTTAAAAAAAATGTTTTATGGTAAGCGTTGCTTCTTTTAGATTTTTTTATGGTTAGCAATGTCCCTGAGAACTATAGTTTTTCAAAGAAACCGTTTTATGGTTATTAATACATGATTTGATTGCGTCTTCTTAGTAAAAACAATTTTGTGGTTATTAATACATTTTAGGGTTGTATTTTTTTCGAGAAATTTGGTTTTATGGTTATTACTACATGCTAGGATTGGGTTTTTTTCGGAAAAATTGGTTTATGTAAAGATGTATCTTCTCGAAATTTTTTTTGATAGTTTACATTTTAGATTATTAATGCTAGGAATTTTTTTTA